GGGGTGCATGCCGGGACAGGTGCATGCCAAGAGAGTGCGTGCGGTACAGGGGTGCGTGCCGAGAGAGGGCGTGCAGAACAGGGGTGCGTACTGAAAGAGTGCATGCCAGACAGGTGCATGCTGAAAGAGTGCATGCCAGACAAGGGTGCGCCCATGGGCTCCTGAGAAAGGCCCCGTCCCTACCTGCTCCTGCCAGGCCCTGCACCTTTGCTTTCCCTTTTTGACTGAATTGAACGTCTATACTTAAAGTGACACACTCTTGTCCCAAGACCCAGAGGCAGCTTTGGGCTCTGTTGAGGAGCAGGTGTCAGGCCAAGCCACCCCACAAGTCCTGGAGATCTGAGTCCTGGGCGCTGCCCTGTGCCCGTCCACTGTAGCCCTGCCCAGCCTTCCCAGGGTGACCAGCACCCTTCCAGGAGCGAGATGCCGGCCACCTCCACACCACTCTATGCTTTGCCACCAGGGAAGCGAGTGATGCAGCCGCAGATCCTGGAGGTGAACTTCAACCCGGACTGTGAGCGAGCCTGCAGGTTCCACCCCACCTTCTTCAACGACGTCTTTAGCACCCTGTTCCTGGACCAGCCCGACGACTGCCATGTCACCCGCCTCCTCTAAGCCCTCGCTGTCTCTTGAGCCTGTACATGCGGGCAGGATCCCAACCTCAGTTCCTTGAGCTGCTTCTGTAAAGCACCCCCCAGCTGGCCTGGGCTGAAGCCTCTGCCCTCCTGAGCCATAGTCCGGCATCACACCCTGGGAGCGCAGGGCTTGTCCCCACTGTGGGGGTGAGCCAGGACAGTGATGGTGTCCCCAGGCTGAGTGTGCCCCGAGGCCCTGTCCACATCCCCTCGCCACCGCCTGTGCATTGATGAGTCTCCAGCTCAGCCAAGGGCTTTCTTCCTGGTGTCAGGAGAGCTTGGTCCTTGGGCTGCTGCGTTTCCAGAGGGCGTGGGGAACAGGGTGCTGTGGAGCAGGACCAGGTGTTCCTCAGCTGCATCAAACAGGCCAGGCAGGTTTCTTTTCCTCAGGGTTCTGCTCTCTGCATCTGGCTCCCACGAGCAGGGGTCAGGGTTCCATGCTGTGACTGCAAAGCTCTGTGTGACACAGACCCCAGAACAGCCTGGGGTGGCCGTAGCCTTGTGGCCCGCCCCAGCCCCACTAGAGCCTTCACCAGCAAACCTCCTGCTAAATCCCCGCGGGAGGCCTCCTCCTTTTGTTGCAATTCCCTTTCCATTTGGCAAGCGTGGGCTGACCTCCCGGTCACAGGCCCTGCCCCGGTCTGAGGTCGGCTAGGACACTGGTAAGGGGAGTGAGGGCAAGTGTGGGGTGCAGGGCACCAGGCAGGACGGCTGGGGAAATGAACGTGAGTCCAAAAACTTTATGTTAAAGTGGGATGACATCTACCTGGGTCTACAGTCAAAGTGTTGAGTTTCTGTTATTTTTTAATTTATGGGAGGAAAATATAAAATTCTAGTTCTTTCCTAATTTTGTTTCTGAAATTTGGAGTCGGCTGCCAGCATTTTTTTTGCGTAGGCGTGGTGCACCTGGGCCCATCTCACAGAAGGTGGGTGGGTGGGAGCTGCTTCCAGAGCCTTCCTGTGTGCAGGAGGCTACAGCTGGGCATGGTGGTGTGTGTTTCACTTTTGAAGCTAAAAGTGACCCTCCTTGTAGCACAGCTGCACACAGTTCTGCCTCCCCTCTCTGTCGGGACATGTGGGCTGCCCTCTGTTAGCAAGAGTCCCTTTGATAGCAGAGGCAGCTCTGTTGCTCCCAGGGTGAGGGTGGAACCTCCTCTCTGCTCCTGTCCCTGGAGAGCTGCTGACATCCGTCCCCTTCTCACTCCATCTGTACTGCAATAAAGTATGCCTTATATGGCATCTGCCCCCTTCCTCTTTGGGGCCCTGAAAGCACTGTTTCCCTTGCTGTTGCCAAAACAAACAAACAAAACAACCCAAATGCCAAGGTGTACTCTGAGAAAAGGAGAGAAAAAATAAGGTGATGTTTACACCTACAAGTCCCCCAACCCAAGGCTTGATTCTGGCACTGGTTCCATTTCCAAGTGGGGCACAGGCAGAGATGCAGAGAGGCCCGTCCTGGCTGTGCCGCCTGAGTCTGAGCCCTGAGCCCTGGCTCCAGCGCTCGAACCAGGCAGACTCGGCAAGTGGCCTCCCTGTGCCCGCTGCCTCGTCCTGGGGGTGGGGCTGAATAGAGCCCCTACCTCCTCCATGGTGTCAGGAGGGTTCCACAGGCTGATGCAGACACTGGCGGGGGCAGCAGTGGCGCCATCTGGTGGCTTGGGAGGTCACAACATAACGGCACAGTGGCCCCAGGAGCAACCCCATGGGGGGTTTCCGTGCCCCTCAGGACATGCCCACAGCAGGTCATTTGTCCTCGGGGGGTTTTCTGTGCCCCTCGGGACAGATGCTTGCACCAGATCATTTGTCCAGAAGCACAATAGGGATGGTACACTTGCTGGCACCCAGTTCACCTAAAATCTGACACCCAGGAGATACAGACCCTGGAGCCAGAGGACCATGCAGTCCAGCTGTCCCTAATTATAAACATGCTTTTCTGCATTCCTAGATGTCCTTGCACCTCTGATTGGTGCAAGTGGACAACCCCCAAGGCAGGCCATCAGCCAGGGACTCCATGGTCATGAAGATCAGCCGTCTCCAAGTGCTGAGGCAGTTGCCATGGAGATGTATCCCACCAAATACTTCTTCCTGGTACTCACTGGCACCCTGGTCACTTTGTTGAAGAATGCATCAAAAGCCAGAGTTTGTCAGTGTCAGACACTTGGAGTTGAGAGAATCCCGGTAGTAATATTGATCGTACCAAAGTTCTGCAGGGTGATAGAAAAGAAATCCTAAATGTAAAACTCAAGATGCTGACAGTGAACTTTTGAAAGCGTCCTCGGTGATGATCTGTGGGTACATAAATGCACCCAGCGATGGCAGCTCTTAAATCCAGAGGCACCAGTGTATTATAGAGTCTCAGTAGGGAGAGGAAGGTTTCCACTTGCCTAGTTCAGAGTGGCCGACCACAAAGTTGAAGTGTTTGAGGAAACCCTAAGAGTCATTGTTGCTTCCTTCTTCTTGGGCTGTGTGACTGGCCTTGCCTTGTGTCCTCTGTGACTATGGCCTAGAGAGGGAGGCAAATGCTCGGGTTTAAGAAAACCTCAACTGTGTGAAGCTACCCTTGGCAGGAGCAGACCAGAGGCATGGGCTTCCCTACTAGACCAACAGGGAAATTGTCAGAAACCTAAAGTCCTCGATGGATGGTGACAGCTTAGAAAAGGAGATGGTGCTGTCTAATTATGAACAGAGAAAGCATCGCAAGGTCATTAGCAGCAAGCTGGCAACCAAAATGACAAAATGCATTCTCTTCTTGCCCATTTTTCCAGGGTGTTTTTGTGGTGGTGTATGTTTTGTGGCCAGTAGGAAGTTGTGGGATACTGATTGCTAAAGATGAACAAACGCACGAATTTGTGGAATGGGCCAAACAGTCTGGATGAGCATTGCTGAAAAGACCCCAGAAGTCTCGAGTGCACTTAAGGTGCACTTTCCATGCGTCCTAAGCATCTGGCACGCATGCAGGTGCCCTGTGGTGCTTCGAAGGGCAACCCCACACCCTGCGGGAACCGTGCACACCCAAAAGGCATGCTGGGGCAGGAGACAGCCTGGCCTGTAAGTTCATCACTAGCAAGGACTTCTCTGTCATCTGGTGCTCGGACAAGTGTCCGAGGCACAAAGCTTTGGAGGGACTAAATTCTGACCATCTTGGATAACTTTAGAATTAAGTTCATAAAAAGCCCTCGGAGTTCCCCATCTAACTATTCTGCACTAATAAGCATCAGGAGAGCCGTGTGGGGAGCTGGCCGAGGGCTCAGCTATGTGCCATGTCTGAGAAGCTGCTAGATTCCTGCAGATCATTATGTTGGTCGTCAGATTCCACTGGCATTGAGGGCGGGGAGCCAGGGCCAGGGCAGGGCCCTGTGTGGCAGCCGCTGGACGTGAGCCACCTTCTCTCAGCAGAGCCCAGTCAACTGTCTCCCCGTCGTCTTCCTGAGCTTTCCGTAGTGTCCGGTCATTTCTTAACGTGCAGGTGACAGAAGGACAGAGGCGGTGAGGTGAGAACAGAGAGGAAGCAACAGTCATGGCTGCCAAGGTGATGCCGAGATCTCAAGTGTGAGCATCTGCCACTTTCGGGTAACTTCCGTCAACAGCAGGGGGCGCCTGGCCGCGGGGAGGCTGCATGGCCAAGTGCTGCACAGACAGTGGTGGCTAACAAGGGAACAGAGGAGCACCCTTTCTCAGACAGCAGCCACCGTGTGCCAGGCGTTATACCCCGTCTCACTTACTCCAGACAGCTGCCTGGAGCGGGGGAGCAAAGCTGGGGGGGCACCTCCAAACCCGGGCAGGTCAGGGCCAGCAAAGAGGCCCTGTCTGCTGGGGCTGGGGTTCTTATGGCCTCTGACACCTCCCTCGCACCGACTGGGTGTTTGTGGGGCTACCCGTGGTGGAGTGAGGCTGGCCAGAGTCTGGGTACCTATGGGGCGGGTCAGTCGGCGTCCCCAGCTCTGTGCCCAGCTCTGTCCTGGGCAAGACCAGTTGGGAGCCCTGCTTGGGGCCCAGGCAGAGCCAGGTGTGGGACTCTGGTTGTGGGCCCAGCCTTTCAAGAGCCCGGACTGAGTGTCTTGGAAGCCACAGGGAGGGAACAGCACCCCTCCCTCAGTGGAAGCCCCCAGCCCCAGCCCTATCCGTGCCAGCCACGCAGCAGCAGGAGCCAGTCTGGGCTCCGCAGTCAAACAAGGGGCTGCTCCCCACGCTGCCAGTCTCCTGCTTCTCTGCCCTGGGTGGCCCACCTCACCTCTTGCGGGGTCTTGGGAGGGTCCCAAGAAAGTGGGAAAGGCCTGGTGGGGCCCAGTCCTGTCTGAATGACACCGCCCAGATAGCCCCTGCACAGCCCCAGCCGGGGGTCCCACCCAAGAAAAAAGGCTGTTGTAGAAGTTAAGAACTTTATTTGGCTTATAAAATTCCACGTTTGTGCTCTGAGCACTGCAGAAGGCTCAGGACGACGCTGTTCCCCAGGTGGGGCTCTGAAGCTGCTGGTGACCCCGTGGGCTGAGACGCAGACAGACCAGCAGGCCTCATGGCCATGAAAGCTTGATGGCCACCACCTCCAATGGTGCCCAACTGGCAGCGGCCACAGTCCTCATGGGCTGGGCACCCTCACTCTGGAAGCCGCCGGCCACCGCGCCGGCCTTGGTTGTCCCGCCATACACGGTAGTTGAGCGTGGTCGCAAAGGCCAGCCAGGCCAGGTAAGGGTAGAGCAGGCGGGCAGCCGGCGGGCTCACCCGGTACCAGGCCACAGTCGTGGCTGCTACCGCCCCACTGGTCACCAGGAGGTCCACCAGGGCCTGCGGGGACACCGGGAGGGAATCAGGGAGGTCTAAGGCTCCAAGTCCACATGATGTATGTCCCAGCTGCCCACCCACCGGCTGGATTTAGGGGTCAGAAGCTGCTCTCAAACCCCCATTCCACCCTTGAGGGACCCAGCCAAGCCCTGCCCTGATCTCAGCTTCAGTTTTCTCATTTGTAAATGGGAACGGTCTTTCCCGCCTGACCTGTGCCATGTGTAGGGTGCGTGTGACAGTGCTGTGAGGCGGACGCAGCACCCTCAGGCGTGCGGCAATGGCTAGGCAGCCTCAGTCATGTCCCTTCTCCTCTGTGAGCTTGGAGCCTACCCTGAGGGCAGCCCTGGCCTCCCAGCATTGCTGCGAAGCTCTAACACAAACTCACTGTGATGGTCAAGTGCGGTCCCCGCCCCTGTGGTGGGCACTCCACCTCGGGCCTCAGCGAGGCTCTTTTGAAGGGGCAGCTGGTATTCAAGGGCCAAAAGAGCTGCCTGTGTGTCCCACACAGAGCACCAGGGGTGATGTGGGTTTCCCTCCACAGCAGCCCCAAGCCCAGCTGGCAGCCCCAGAGGCCTCAACCAGAGCCCACAGCCGTGCCTGCACTGGAGGAAAGTCGGCCGAGAGGAGGCTCTGGGGCACCGGTCTGCTAAGAGCTGCTAAGGAGACATTTGACCTGAGCTGTGCACCTCTATCTCCCACCATTAAACACGGACCCCGTCTGGGATGGGACACCTCAAGTCCTCCATGGGCCACCCCCAGGGACCAGAGAGATAGGCCAAAGCCACACTTACCCAACCCATTTGTCGGGCTCCAAAGAAGATGGGGGGCCATGCCCAGTTCAGGGCCAGCTGCCCGGCATACAGGCCCAGGGGAACCACAGCCTCCTCTGAGAAGCCCCCCAGCTCTTTCCAGATCATGTAGGAACCATACCTGAAACACAGGCCACCAGCCGAGAACCAGTCAGGGAAAAGGCCAAGAACCTCGCCCACCTCTAACACAACAGTGACAGCTCAGGCACACCCTGCCACTGACCGCTGTGCGTCCTCAGGGAAGTTGCTCAACTTCTCTGGCCTTCACTTCCCATAGGGTTGGTGTGGGGATTCGAGTTAACACATTGGCCTTCCTTACTTAACACTTGGCACTTGGGACATTCTGTAAATATTTGCCGTTACTGTCATCACCAGTGCTAGGAAGGGGGAAGCACACGGGGCGTGCGAGGGCAGAGGAGCTCTTCACCTAGCCGGGGGCACTGCAGGAGGATGGGACATTTGGACTGGGCCTTAGAGGATGAGTGGGAGTTTGCCCGGGGGAGAAACAGGACATGCAAAGGCTTAGGGGCAGGTGTGAGACCCTGAGTCAGTCTGTGTGACTGTAGGGGGAGGCAGACGGCGGGCTGGCCATGGGGGCTGCTAGGTCCACAGGGGCAATGGTAACCCCACCAGTAACAGCTGCTGAAGCCCTGCAGCACTTAAACACGTGCCAGGCGCTGCTCTCATACCCTACAGGCGCTAACTCTTCTCATCCTCATCTCATCACACTAGGAGATGGGCTGTGGTATCGCCCGGCTTTACAGCAAGGAAACTGAGGCACGAAGAGGTGCGGTGACTGTCTGAGCTCTGAGCAGGCAGTCGGTGGGCAAAGTCAGGAAGTGAACACAGGTGGCCTGGGGCCAGAGCCTGGGCTCTTACCCACTACTAAAGGGTTTGTCCATATCCAGAGTCACAGGGAGCCTTCAAAGGGTTCCACCAAGAGAGGCTGGGGCCACGTTTGTGCTTCATCAGGATCTCGATGGTGGAAGAAGGCCGAGGCGGCGTGGGGAGGCCCGGAGGCAGAAACAGAGGGACTCGGGCCAGGAAGGGGGAGGAGAAAGCAGAGACCCAAGAAGTGCCAGAGCCCGACTGCACAGGGGGTGGGGCCAGGTGGCACACAGGTTTCAGGGTCTTATTCCCATCAGAACCCCCGGGCAGCTGACCATGCTCCTGACTGTGCCCTACTCCATCAAGCATTTCCTTTCTTCCAGAAAATTCCCTGGGTCCAGTCACAGGGGACTTTGAGGCCAACTGTGGCCTGGGAGGGACTCCTGCGGGGCCTCTATTGTGTCCTTGGGTGGTCCCTTGTCAAATGCATGCTGTGAAAATTAACCGAGATAAAGCCTGGCACTGAGCTCCACACACGGGAGCACATTGCTGCATTGCTGTCATTTACCTTGGAAGCACCCACGCCACTGCCCGTGGCCGGTCTTCACACCTCAGGGCGGCCCCAGCTCAGCGAGGGTGCCAGTGTGGGGGTGAGCCGCCCGCCCACCCCTCCCAGGAGGGCCAGGAGGAGGCAGTTCCGCTGTGCAACCGCCAGGGAGAGGACGCCCCCCAGCCCGCACCCACCTACCCCATGGCCGAATAGAGCGTGGCCCAGATGGGGCTCAGAGTCCAGCGGGGCGGGTGCCATGAGGGCTTCTGCAGGCTGTCGTACCAGCGGAGGCCCTCTCCGCGGACAAAGTGGGAGCCCAGGAAGCCCCCCAGGCTGGGTGCCAGCGTGAAGCCCACAGCGGGCACCCAGGGTGGCGCCATGGCTGCTGCAGCTGCTGTTGAAGAAAGATCTGAAAGAGAAGACAGGGCTGGGTGAGAGTATGTCCCGAGGATGGATCGGGAGGTGCAGAGACACCTGTGAGGCTGGGAGGGGCTGGGTTCACAGCCACAGCCCCTGGGCTCAAGTGAACACATTTCCATCCGAACTCCTGCCGCCAACCCAGAGGTGCCCCTGCCCCCACCTCAGCTCCTTTCCCAACTGCTGGGGTCTCATGTTCTCCCAGACTCACCCTTGACCTTGGGTCTCCTGGCAGTGACCTCTCCTCTCCCACCTCATTGAAGGCCAATTTGGGTCCCCTCCACCAAGAAGGTTTCTCGGCTCTGCCTCTCCAGGCCAAGCACCAGTGCTGGGGGCTGTGCGAGGCCTGCGCGTTAGTTTCTAGCAGGTTCATTTGTCATCCACCGCTCATTCATGTGGTGACCGGTTCCAGACAGAGCCTGGCTCAAACCTCTGCTCCTCACTGACTCACTGTGACCTCAGGCAAATCATGTCAACTCTCTGGGCCTCAGTTTCCCCCCATAGAATGGGATATCAACAGCACCTACCTTGGACCCAGCCCAGTGCACAGCATGGAGGAGTGTCTCTGTACACAGGTTTTCACCACCATCACCCTACAGGCCCACCCTAAAACCACCACCCCTTCCCTGTGCACCAGAGAGGGAGAGCAGCCTGCCCGGGGTCGCACAGCACTCTGGGCCAGGCTCTGCCCGGGTGGCAAAGCTGCTCCCACCTTGACACTCAGTTCTGTTGGGGTAGCAAGTGTTCAAGGCTGGGGTGCTCCTCAGCCCTCTCCCAGGTCCCCTCAGCAGCCCTGAGAGGCCGGCAGGGCCTGGAGAAGGCAGGCCCCTGTCTCAGGCACGGTGCTGCCACCCCCAGGGCTGGAGTCAAGTCCCCCAGGCAGCAGCAGAAGGAGCCAGGTCATCAGGTCTCTCCGTTAGGTGGGTGAGTCGTGTCCCCTGTCTGCAGCCCCAAGGTCATGGAATACAAGAATTATCCTGTGCTGAGGGTCTACTGTGCCCAGCTCCATGCTGAGGAGCCCACGGGGGCTGGGAGTCCAGTGAGACAGCAAGGGAAGCCCAGGGCTGGGGATCTGGGGCTGCTCCACTTGGACTTCAATGGAACCCTAAGCCCGTCAGCATCCCTGATGGGCCTCAGTTTCCCCACCATGAAATAAGGGGGCTGAGCGCTCACTAACACACTCTGATTCTAGGTGGAGAATCAGAGGGTGTCTGATGAGACAAGAAGCCACACACTGGATTCAGCTCAGCCAACTTGCAGCGAGGCCTGCCAGGGTGGGGGCTGGGGACCCAGGGGTAGGTGGGTGGGGGAGGCCCTGAGGGGGCCCAAGGGTCAGGGAGGAGATGCTGAAAAGACAGTGAGCACTTTCCCTACAGGGACACAAGAGGGACAAGCAGTCCAGGGGGAGAAGGAGCAGGAACGGTCAGATGGGGGAGCAGATGCCGCTGAAAAGACAGTGAGCACTTTCCCTACAGGGACACAAGAGGGACAAGCAGTCCAGGGGGAGGAGAAGGAGCAGGAACGGTCAGATGGGGGAGCAGATGCCAAGAAGAGGCCGCTGAATCTGGGGCAGCAGGGAGCCACCAGGGCAGAGGGTGAAGGGCGAAGGCCACCCCAGGGTGAAAGGGCAGCTGCTGGCCCGGGACTCCACAGAGCTCAGTGAAATTCAGAAGCAACCTCAGTGCCCAGCGACCAGGGACTCTTAAAGACTGGGCAACCCCCAAATCAAGCTTGTGAGGACTTTAATGAGGGGAAACTTGTTCTCAACCTAACACTTAAGCAAGAAAACAGAACGTAAAATTGACCACAGAATGACCCCAATTTTAGCAAAAAATAGATAACATAGATATGCATTTTAAAATTGTAACAAATGCATGAGGATCTTAGCAACAGCCATCATCACAAAGCCCCCAGGACATCCCCCGGGGCACGGCTGCAGGCCAGGTCAGCGAGGCTCCAGCCCGAATCCTGACCTTTAACCCTTGCCCTGCCGGGGAGCTACACGTGTTATCCGTCTGCCAAGGAAGACGGGGGCACGAGCGCTGGAGGCGTTTGCCCGAGGCCCCTCAGCAAGCGCGTAGCTCGCATCCCAAAGCCCACACTCGGCAGTGGATTCATGATGTGTTCGTTACATTATTTGTGATCCAAGATGTCTGTAATGAGCATTATTTGAAAAGGAACAATTAGAGAGGGTCAGGTGTCCAGCAGATCCTGGTGCTGCCACCTACTGACTACAAGTTCCTGCTCTCCCTGGCCTCGGTTTTCTCACCTGTTGAATGGGGACAGTTACCCCCTCCCCCAAGGTGGCTGCACAGATGAGCAGTGACGACGCCCCTTGGTGGGGCTGGGCATGTGCCTTGTGCTTCTCCCTCCCCCTCCCTCCGGCCCTGCCCTCTGGCTTCTGGGCTACACATGACTGTTCACGGAGTGGGCATGGGGATCTGATGTCACTGCACATATAAAGGGCCACCTCCCCTGGAATCAGGAGAGGTGCAGCTGAGCACTGGTCTGTGCTGCTGCCAAGTGGATGTAGTGTTGGGGACCCAGAGACCGGCCACCCAGCTGGGCTCACCACTGTGTCACCTTGGGCAACCCAGGCCACCCCAGCCTGCTGCTCATCTGCAGTGGGGACATAACGCTGCTCTGCATGTTTAATAAATGTTGAATCCACAGCAAAGTGACAGTATTTGGGGAACCATAATGTCCCCTGGGATGTGGCATGGTTTGGGCAAACAGGAGGCCTTTACGTGGTACGGAGAGGGAAATGAGGCCCAGAGGCTGAGGGGCAGGGCTGGGGGCTCAGGCACTGAGCCAAGCCAGACCTCAGGTCTCCTTGGGGTGACCATGTGTGCCTTTTCCCAGGACACGTCCAGTCTCTTCCGGCTGTGCCCCACACTAATGGCCGCTCTCACTCTCTGAGTGTCCCTTTCACAGGTGACCAAGGTCAATGCCACCCATGTGAGACACATGGACACCATAAACCCCTTCACACGACTTACAGAAGTGGACACACTTGCCCAAAATGTGAAACCCCAGGCCAGTCATGAGAAAACCTCGGGAGGCGCTCCAGGGGAATATTCCACACAACCCCTGACGCACTCCAGCGCCCTCCAAGTGTCCAGGTCAGGAAGGGCAAGGAGGGACAGAGGACAATGTCGGAGACTGCGGGAGACGAAGGGGACAAACACAAGCAAGCCAACGTGGGCTCCTGGAGGGAGCACGGGGCAGACGGAGCACAGCAGTGGGACACCGCGGGAACCCGAGCAAGGCCTGTAGTCGCTGGTGCTGTGCCAACGGCGACTTCCTGCTTTTGCTGAGCTGGGGGTGCCGGCGGAGGGGGCGCGGGGGGCATTCTCTGTACTACTTTTGTAACTTTCCTGTAAGGTTAAAATTAGTTCAAAATAAAACACTAAAAAAGAAGTATCCTGGTTTGGACAATAAACTGCGCAGTCTCTACTGGGGCTCAGTTGGGACTTTCGTTGTTTCTCGGCAGCCGGCCGGTGTGGAGATCAGAACCCCTGACCTTGGTGTGATCAGCACTGCGCTCTGACCGAGGGGCCCCCCTGGCCAGCGCGGACTCCGTCTTTGCTAATTGCATCAGCCCCTCCTGCTGGTCAGGCCCTGAGCCCCGGACCTCAGCCCCTGCTCCACCGGCCACCAGAGGCCCCTCTGAACCGCCACTTCCACCTCAGTGATTCCCACTGGGTTTTTTTCTATTTTTCTTTAGTTGAGGTGAAATTTGCCTCATGTAAAATTAACCGTTTTAAAGTGCAAACTCCAGTGGCATTTAGCCTACTCCCAGTGTTGTGCAACCAGCGTCCATATCAAGTTCAAAATCATTTTTGTCACTCCGACAGAAAGCCCGTACCGTGAGCAGCCACGCCCCCTCCCCCTCCCCCAGCCCGGCCACAGCCATCTGCGCTGTCTATGGATTTGCCTGTCTGGGACATTTCATTTCCACGGGATCATACAGTTTTTGGCCATTGTGTCTGGCTTCTTTCTTTCTGAGCGTCATGTTTTAGAGGTTGGCCCACCTTGTGGCACGTGGCAGTACTTCTCCCCCTGCTTCTATGGGCAGGGGTGCTCATGTCACCCGGCCACAGCACCCAGCCAGGGCCTGGCACACTCTCTGTGCCCAGGAAATCCCTAAACAGGACTCACCTGCTGTTCCAGCTGATGGGGCCTTATAACCCACCACCCAAAAGTCCCTGTTGCACAGAACAAACCGAGGTCACAGAGGGGTGGTGGCTTTCCCAAGGCCTCAAGGATAGAGCAGGCTCTGGAACCGGGTCCCAGACCCGAGCTCCTGCCCTTCGCGGGCCTGGCTGTGTTTATGCGCCGCTGGGCCAAGGGGAGCAGAGGGTCTGCCCCACCCGAGGGTCAGGAAGCAGGGAGCGCAGACGCCCCACATCACTGGCAGGCAGGGCTGTACCCACCAAGCTGAGTCACAACGGCTGGGCGGGGCTGGGCGGGGCTGGGACGGGCTGCTCTGGGACGGGGGCCCCAGGGAGCTTGGGAGCGCCCACAGCAGGGACAGGGCTCAGGTCCAGAAGATGAACAAGAATCCAGACCTGGCGCAGCCTCCGATCTGCTGGGTGACCCCGCAGAGCTCCTCTCTGGGCCAGGACTTCCGTGTGTCAGGTGGGTGTCACTGCCTGCCTATTTCCAGGGTCCTGGGGAGGCTCGAGGGAGGAAGGGACAGGGAAGCCACACCTCCCTGGAGCACTCCAGACATGTGAGGGGTGTGTGGTATCAGTGTTGGGGCCACTCTCCCCATTTCCTCCAGGGGAAGAAGCGGCCTCGAAACTGAGACCCAACACTGAGACCACACAGGCCACATAAGCCCCTGACACTCCATGGACAATGCCCCACACAGCAAGTCCCACCCTTGAGACCTAGGGCCGCTCACGGGGAGTGCCTCCAAAACAGAGGCCGAGAACGGGGCGAGGTGGTGGGTGCAGGATGCAGAGGCAGAAGGCTCGGGG